TTTTTTTTTTTTTTTTTTTTTAATAAAAGCCCCACCTCTAATTCACCCCTAGAAAATAGAAAAGAGTAAGCCGGGATTCCTTGACTTTTTCAGACTTTTCGTTATATCTTACCTTGCCTCAAAGTGAGAGGGGAAGCGATTTGTCCACGTGCTGGACACGATTTCTGACAATTTTCTTAATATGATAATATCTTCATTCACATCATATTCAAATTTCAATCCTTCGCTGTTTAATTGATTAATTGTAATAATTGATTGCTTGATTGTTTGATTGATTAATCGATTGATTGATTGATTGATTGTCAAAAGGTTCAATCTGTGTACCACGTAGCCATGCAGCATGCTCACTCCTGAATGTCTGTCTATCATGACTCGTTTGGATTTGAGTTTGTACTACTCTTATCTTAAGTTCTTAACCAATCTTGACTCGAGTAGGCTTACTCTGTTTTCAATCTTTTTCATAACTACACTACTGAAACGGTTTTCACCTTTCTGCAGTCACAGATGCGGGCACTAGAGTTCTATCCCCAGACCTTACCTTGCCCATGTTCAGTATCGAGTTGACCGCCTACTGTTTGAACCCGTGACCTGTGTTTTGGTAGTTGTCTGATGTCTGTCGTAAGTCTGTGTAGTTGTAGGGGTTCGATCTGTAGATCTGTTGAGTAGGGGTCACAGCTCTGAGGTCGTAGCTGTAGGTGTTCCGAAAGGTCAAGGTTGTCGGTGCTGCAGTCCTGAAAGGTCAAGGTCGTAGCTGGTACAGTACTCGAAAGGCCAAGTCTACAGACTTCTGGAAGGTCCGGAAGTGGCCTTTTGAAGTTGTCTCACATTTAGTCAGAGACAAGTGGGCAACTGGTCAGCCCGATAGCACTGAGTCGGCAGTGCGACTGCATCGAGTCGGCAGGGCAATCCCACGCAGTCAGCGGTACCAGTCCAGTCAGTCACAGCCCAGTCAAGCAAGTACCATGAGGGACTGCGTGCACCATGGGCCGGTGGAAAGGGGCAGACCAACGAGTTACAGAAGAATAAATCAAGAGGCAGAGCCCAGCCATTGATTCATTCGCTGCGTAAGCCATGCGGATGCGGAAGAGCTGCTACAGCGTCATGTGCGAAGGTGGTCTGCAGGTTGCCCGAAGAGGAAGTGGGCTGAAGAGAGACAACGTAGCCATAGTTAGTAGCAGTAGAGCGGCTATGCCGCTGTAGTGTTAGAAGTTAGTGAGCGTGTACGAGTGAGCGTGCGTGGGTGTAGTCAGGTGATCCAGATTTGAGTGCGGGTGAACAGTGGTGTTGAACACAGTGACGAGAGTTGTGAAGTGCAGGAGCTGTTGCGCCATAGCCTGTTGAAGTGAACTTGCATCTGAAATGTGTTCTCGATTGCCATATCTCTGAGCTTTGAGTGGGCGCTGAGCGCCAGTGTGAATCGCCACCTATTTGCATGTATGTGAAGTGGAAGTGAAAGCGAGTCTGATTGCACTACACTGTCTATGAGCTCAACTGTCGATGCATTTATAACATTATTATCATTAGGGGCCACGTTTTGCATGGGCAAAAAAAACAGTAGTCCGCAGGTCCGTCCCGACCGTAGTTCAAAACGGCAATAATAACAGTGGCCCGCGTTATACACATGGTGCCTGTT